TTTGTGTGTGTAAGCCTGCCGGCTTATATTCAGGTGTAAACAGTTTCACCAGGTTGTAGAGGGACTTCACGACGAGACATAACATATAGAGAATCATGTATTATTTGACTCCGCCCTTTTATAAAATTTGTACCAATTACACCGTCTTGTGAACGTTCAAGCCAGGGGTGAGCTGGGTTGACAATGGTATGGACTTTCTCATCAGTTATGTCTCAGTCACTGGTATAAGGATACCAGTACGTTATTTGTCAACATCTGTAGAAGGATCTTAGTTAATTGCGGTTCATGATGGTGATGCGAATGACATTTATGTTCTTTTGACCTTTCCTAAGGTTGCCAAACGTTTTATCAGAGCCTGCCGAGCGTTCAAGATGAATTTCCTCGCCGTAAACGCTTAACTGACCTTCTACTTTCTCAATGAAGACGGGATGTTTGCTTTCCACGAATGTAATCGCCTCCTTGATTTTCCCATCATCGTGGATGTCTCTTACATCAATCATCTGTCGCGTCACGGTTTGATGGCTGGTTTGGTACAAAGCAATAAAAGCATCGCATCCTTCTTGATAGTTTGTTTCTTCGGTTAAAGGTGTAGGTTTGATCTCTGCTCGAGCCTTATTTTGAGGCAAAAATATCATTAAGTGGTACTCCCTCTGTATTTGTTTAAGTTTTTCCTTGTGTACCCTTCTAAATAATTTCATGAACTTGGTTCAGCTTCAAAGGTGCACGCTTCAACTATCTCCTGATAGTCTTCTTTGACTTGCTAGAAATTGACAAAAGCAATAATAAAAAGGGCTAACTGCTTTTACCAAGCACTGCTGCTCGCTTAGAGGTAGGGCCCATATGTGCTCTTGATATAGATGCAGTTAGAAAATTATGGCTGATATGTCTCAACTTAATTACAGGAAACCATGCCAGCATAGATCAGTTTAGATACACACAGAACGCTTGAAGCTATGAATGTAACGTTAGACTGATCAAGTGAACGCTGTGGTAATTTTCTTTGCCCTTTCTTCCATTGTTAAACGCTCCAACTGAACCACCAAAGGACTAACAACGATTCATAATGCGAAGCACAAGGGGATAGAAAATATTAAAATAGAAAAATAGCGACTAGAAAATGAAGATCCTGGGAGAAAGAGTTTTTCTTCTCAATGGCCATACTTCATCGTTGGCTTGCAAAATAGAGGTTGTCAGCAATCTAAAGAGCCATTCGCTTCATTTTCCAGTTTGCTAAGTTAAATAGGGAAGTGGGCAATGGAGAAGAGCCGTCTAAACGAAGGCTTTAGTAGCGAAATTCAGTTTCAGAGAATGAACAATGAGCACTAACTAGTTAATGTTCCAGTTAACTTACTATCTTCGAATCAGTTCAGTAGAAATAATACCTTTTGGGCGTGGCTTGGTCTAACATCCACCACTTTACCCCCAAGTACATGAGTGCGCTCTAATATCCTGTCAGCAGCTAATGAAGAAGAAAAAAATGATGATAATTTTTCATTGTCTGGAGTTTAATTTGAGCATATAAAATATCGCTCGGAAAAGGCTATAAAACGTCATTATGTTCGGTGTCTAAGTCAAAAGGCGCACTTCTTGTGGACTAGTTGGATTGCTTCGTGCTAAATTAAGCTTAGCTGATACAAATTTCCAGGTATGAGTCTCAGAAACTAGCACTTTTCGAGAGCTCATCGCTCAAGGTCTCCCTTTCATTCCAGATAATGTCTCCTATACCTCAAAATTTTTTTTCTTATCTTTTTAAAAGGCGGAGACTAGCTTCCCTCTGACTGGAGGTGAGATGCATTTACCACTCAAGAAATAAATTTCGCTGTTGTTTAACACTATATCGAGTACTCGTGACCAACAGATCTGTTTCTGTACCCTTACGAATTCAAGCAGACAAGAAAACGGAATACGTACAGCTGCCTAAGAAATTTGACAACTAAGTCATTACAAGGATTTCCCCGATTAAACACCGATCAAATTTCCTCGAGTCAACTTTCCGAAACTCGTAATAATTCTGTAGTATACACTGTGAAACTCGTGATACCTCCAGGTCCTTCAAAGACTATGACTGCATGCCCATCCTTTGTCATCCAAATATCATAGACTTCTCCCCCGCCGTTTTTCCTTTTCTGGAAATGTATGGTAATTTCATCTTTCGTAATTTGTCTCGGTATGTTCGATATCACCACAGTTCTCGCCAACTCTTCGACGCTCAAACGTCCCAGTCGTCATTTGACCGACTCCGAGTGGTCGGTCATCTCTACCATAGTGGTAGGTGCTGTAGTAATCATTCCAGGACCTTGATTGAAGTCCCCAAAATGCAACAAAAAGAGATTAGGACAATATCAGCGATGAAGTCGCAAAAAGGGCGGGCAAAAGAAAGTCAAAACAAAAAAACATAAACGACCCTAGTGGGTTTACTGCACTACAAACACAGTTGCCTTTCATGCCCGGCTCTTGAAATAAACAAGTCATTCTTGATATTTATTAGCGCGAAATCTTTTATACTAAATCCTTTATTGAACAAACTTATTCGGTCGAGATAGCTGGACAATAGCCTCGTTCACTTTTTGCGTTTTAGTGAACCTCGACTTCGTCCTAAGTCATAACAACACAGAAAAGAACCCGGCCAATTTACAGTCATCGTGACCTCACGCTTGCTCGATAACGCATATATATTTATCATCCTTGTTATGGTAACTGCTATAGCTATATTTTATTATAATTATCATTATTAAAAACTAGATCATTGGATAATGCAATTCAAGACTTTTTATTGGCTTAGCCATTATGGTGTATCAGCCAATATACCATAATCTACAAATATGGTAAGCTACGTATCAGCTTAAAATTAAAAGGGAGCTAAATTTAATAAAATTTAATAATTTAAGTTAACGTTTTTAATAAAACAATTATTCCACTCGCGCTTGTTGGATATGAGATGATTATAGCCAACTCGGCGCTACGCGCCTCGTTGGCTATCTATCATCTCATATCCAACGCGCGCTCGTGGAATAATTGTTAATTATTA